AACCACCTGGGGTAATCACTGTGCTGCTCCCAGTAAGGCTTTTTTTCTAAATTAGAAGGTGAACAAACCTCTACCAACAGGCTTACTGAGAACAGGGAGAAACTGTAACTTAAKTCTTCCCTCAAAACTCAGAGCTCCAGTACTAACTCCTGATGGGGACAGGCTTGGAAGAGAAGACTGCTTTATTTACTGTTTCAAAGAGAAAATACCATCTCATAAATCCAGACTTTGATCGTTTATTATTGCACATTTCCTATGAGGTCAATTACTTTATATTTTCCAAGTAGTATGACTTTGCATTATCTTGAAAACAAGTGTGCAATCACAGTTCCCCTGAAACAGCCATACCCCTGGGTTTTCTAATCAATTGAGGACACAGTAGGACAAGCCAGAATAAATCTGTACTAATTTTAATGGGGTGATGCTAATGTATATTTGAGGAAGAGCTGGCTCAATAAATATAGTAACACCAGTTCTGCCTTAGAGTATCTTGTCTCAGATCAGAAATCCCATCAAATGCTGTGTTTAAAGCATTCCTCCTAGGAAATGAAGCTTTGCAGCAATTTTTCAATCTCTCCCACATTTATTTCTCAACCTACTAACCTGCACACCACAGCCCCTCAGTGGAAGAGACAGCTCTGAAAATCCAMAAGCTTCTACCACTGAGGGTGGATCTCCATTCAGTACCTAAAGCAGAGGGATGAATCATAGGAGATACAGAATGAGTCAACACAAGTTTCTCTCAGTCTAAGAGCATCATTTGCTGCTGGATCACTGGTGAAGGATGTTAACATCTGACAGCAGCAGTGCCAACCATCCAGGCCCCTGACACGTCATGGTGGACTTTGCCCTTTGAGGAAGGTGAGGCAAAGGCACACATTGCCCAGACATTAACTCTGCTGCAGTTAATCCTCAAAAAGCAGAGAGGTGAGCACTGCAGAAATTTCCAGCTGTGGCAGCATTTGCTAAAGCTCGGCTGCCTAAAACTCAGAAAAAAACTCTGTCCTTCAGTTCAGTTTGAACACACTGATTTAAGGTTGACTCTCCATTTTCTGCTGGGTGCATGCTGATTCTACCTCCAGCTCTGTTCACCAAGACAATCATTACACCAGCTCTCACTSGTGTAATGAGTGAGAACTAAACCAGTATGACCTGTATATCCACTACAGAAGCACTCAGCCTGTGACCACTGAAGAGTCTGATGTTGTATCAAACAGTGAAGTGCAATCCCGTGTCCTTACACCACCAAAACACACGGGACAGGTGGGGGATGATGGACCAGGATTTAGTGACCCTACCCATGTCACTGCAGAAACATTCTGCTTAATTAAAAATAAAAGCTTCCTTCTCCTGAGAGAGAYTTCCCCAAGGCTGCCCCTTTCTAGCTCTGGCTATTGCTGTCACTGCCTGAGAACTAATGTTACCAACACCAAGCAATATAATTTTTGGATAGTTTTTTTTTTTTTAATTTAAGTACAATATTTGGTCTTCAAAAGCCTCCACCCTGTTAGTATGTAATATAAGAGGACAAGCAGTAGATGTAAACAAACCAAGACCAGGAAGCATCACAGTGATTCCTGAGTCAAATGAAGGACTGTTTGGAGCTCATCCTTGTGCCTCAGACCGCCTTGTACAACACACTGTTCCTAAACACCAGGACTTAGCCTCAGTCTAAATCAAAAAGACAATGGTAATCTCCTACCACTTAGTTCAAGCATTCAACTAAGTGGAAAAGATTGGTTTTTAATATTCTTGCTGAAAAGAAAAGCAAAAGGCAGGAAACACAGGAGAACAACCCTGTCCTTACGCATCTTGAAAGAAAGTTCTCAGGAATCCAGGGTGCTCAACTCAGAACTAGCACTGAGGAAATGTTCACAGGATCTGCCAAGCAGCAAAACCTGTTTAAATCACTGCCAATTCAAAGCTGTGTCTAATCCAAGTAGTCAGTGCTGGGATCTCGAGCATTCACAGAGCACAGTGTGAGGTATGGGCACTTTCCAGACTGACAGTTTTCACAGGGGGCTGGCTGGATAGGAGATAGGAATTATGCAGAACAGCTACTTTAAATATTTTATCTCATTTCGAACTTTATAAATATTTTATTTATAAATATTTCCAGCCATCTCAAGACCAYTTTCTATTCAATCCCCTCTGAATTTACCACACCAATGGGCTGCCTGGATGATAAAAATGCATGCATGTTTCATATGCAACCAGGAACAGAAGCTTCTCTACTAATGCTCCAAGAAAAGAAATAACAAAAAAATTTGACCTCAATCCACCAATAAATTACGAAACAGAATAGCAAGAAGTGAATAATAGTAAAAATCAGACACCAAGGGCTAAATACATAGTAGAGGAAATACCAGAGAAACACTGAGGATTAGAATTGCCCTTCAGCAGAAATGTGTAGTGGACTAATGCTGTCTTAATTGCTTCTGCCATCAGTTAAACTTCTTGTAAATGCATTTCAGTGTGACTTTAGTCTTAYATTGAAAGCAACAAAAAGCCCAACCAGAAACCCAAGAAACTGAAGTCAACCACACTAGTTCAGCAAAACCTAGATGCAAAAATAACCAAAATAAAAATAGAGGAAACAAGGTAAAAAAAACCCTAATTTTTCCTTTTTTTCCCATCATACCACTTCAGAAGTTAACATACCTATTGCACAGATAGCCCCAAATACTGTTTCATGCATCTGTTCAAGACAACAGTATTATCAGGATTATCTCATSCATAAGGATTCTAATAATTGTCCTATATAAGGATCCTAATGTAATAATTTTCAAAGATATTGAGAGTAAAGAGGGAAAAAAAATGGCCTTCATCTAAATGAGCAAGCACTGCATCTACTTTTATCATGAAATACAGTTACCCAAGCAATAAAATAACTAAACCAGCAAATGATAGAAAAAAAATCCAACATTCTAGTTCACACAAACTTTACTTGTGGGAAAATTACTCCACACATGCAGCTTTTTCACTTTTGGCACCCACTATTTACTTACTCAAGACTGCAGGCTGACATACAAACACCCAACTTTTTAACTGGAAACTTGAGGAAATACTTCATCCACATAATGAAGATCAAAAAAAAAAAAACAAACCTCCACATGCACATCTTAATTTCTTTACCTAAGTGTCCAAAACAGGCAGTCATCTTCTGGGCATACTGACACAAACCCTTCACACCATAGGGTTCCTCACCCAGGACCTGCTCACTCATGGTTTCTGCAGGAGCTGCCTTTCTCTGCAAAGTCAACCAACTACTGCTTGTTTTAAGACTGATAAGACAACAGATCTTCCTCKTCCAATTTATATCCATTAATAATTCAGGTACTACATAAAATTTGCTGAGCTTTAAAAACCGGTAGTGCAAAGCTATTTTGTGGCTTTTGAAGTAATCATGTTTTAGTCCTTAAAAAGTATCTCAGCTATTATATTCCAGTAGTTTACAGAATGTRTTTTCAAATAGGAACAAAATCCATTCCCTTGCTGCACAAGAGGAAATAYTGTTGAGATTCTGCTCAGGTGAGTAAGACATTTTAAATGTTCCCCTCRCTCAAACCCAGAAACAGAATTACCACCACCAGTACTAAAATGTGTTGTTTTGTACTGTTTAGTGTTTTCAGCAATGACATGGACAGTGGGATCAASTGCACCCAATGAGGGTGGTGAAACACAGGAGGAGGTGGATGCCCCATCTTTGGATGCATTCAAGGCCAGCCCCATCAGGTTGGATGGGGCTCTGAGCAGCCTGACCTAGTGGAAGATGTCTCTGCTTACTGCAGGAGGGTTTGACTGCCTTTAATGGTTCCTTCCCACCCAAACC